TCATTTTGAATATTGATATTACAGCAGTCAAAATAACTGTGAAATGTTTCCCCTGATATCTTGAATCTCATTAGAAAGTGATTTAACCCTCCCTTTGCAGACAGACCTGAGTGATAGAGTCTGAATATATCTGGTCAGGCCTTAAACAGCTACATTTACATAACCTAGAAAAATAATTGTTGGAAGCAGAGCATTGTTAATGTGCTATAACTGACTTAGAAGGTGAAGTGACCTCTCAGAAGAATGTGAACTTGTGAATTAAGGAGTTCTTTTACTCTCATGGGGCAGTTTATTCACAACAAGAAGTAACTGTTAATGAGCTCCCTAGCTAGCAAAAGCTAGATGCAAAGTACATAAAACTTCAGAATGCCTAGTACTTCATATAGCAACAACGGAAGTTATGTGTTGAGTTTATTCAGGAGATCTTAATGGATCAAAAAAAAAAATAAGGAAAGCTTGTTTCAAAAGCTGAATAACAATTTTGGCGTTTTGTATTCATGATAATTATCATAAATAGCAAAATTTTTAATGCCATTAAAGTTTTTACACAAAACATGGACAATTTTGAACTTTTTAAGTGGAAATTTATTATTTCTTCTCTACCAAAATTCACTTGGAATTTGAAGGTACTCAAATCCCATGTTAAAATATTATTAGAATACAAATAGTCATTCAAGGAAGGAGTTGGCTTTAATTTAGTAAACAGAAATTTAGCACCCACAATGAATTAAATTCTGTGTTATCCACTATGGATTCAACTATGAAGAAATTGTGGTTTTGTTTTGTGGGTTTTTTCCTGTCCCGTCAAAGAGCTTTCTGTCAAGTGAAAGATTCAGTAATTCAGTAGAGTCAGTGCCAAGAAGTAAATGCTGTGTTGTGGTTGTACTAAAGAAATTATGGAAGTCAGGCCCACTTCTTTTCCTCCACACAGACTGGATCAGCATGAGTGATATCACTCTCATGTGCTTTTGTTTTAATGTGGGCCTTTAGCTGGGAGTTACGGTCTAGTGAGAACTAACTTTTCACTACTCAAGTACAGGGCATATACTTAGCCATGGATTGAACTGTCATTTCTGTCTGGAGTTTCTAATAATATAATTTACAAAGGCAACTTTTAAAAAAAAAAAAAAAGCCTAATAAATCAAAGAAGCATGGTTGGCTGAGTCAAAGGTTTGGCAACAACAACCACTATGAATAGGAAACTGAATAAAAACGTGAAATAACATCTGCTAAAATAATAATAAAAATATATTTGTTTCATGCTTAATATGTTTAATAACAAGTCCATGAATTAGATGCTGTGTTCAAATCCAGTTTTGGTGGAAAGAATACAAGAGTTGGATGCAGAGTTGCTAGCTGCTTTTTTCTTTTTTTAACTTTTGTGTATTTCCTGTAGGAGGTACATTGAAGAGCATCACACTGCTTGACTGGCATCCTCTAAGACTAGATGATTGGTCTACTGAGGCTGAGGCATCAGGTGGCAGAGCATCAGAAGCATTACTATGACTCTTCTCTTAATATCTGATTTCTGAACTTGCCACTGCTCTAATATACTTTATATACTTCCAATGTAGTTCTGTATAGCTCCGTGCTACTTAAAGTATAATCTTGCAACCTCACGAGAGATCATGTTAGAAATACAAATAATCAAGTCTCACCCCAGACTTAATCAGAATGTTTACTATATAGGCCCTGGAACTTGTGTTTTAACAAGCCCTCAAGGTGATTTTGATCCTTAAATATGAGAAGCATGACTATCAAAGGGTATATGGACCTAAAAATTTATTCTGCCATTTGTGAAAGTTCTTGCTTTCCACAATTAATCATCCAGTTCTCTATTTCTTAAATTTCTTTTTATATTTTACCTTTTTTTAGACAAATTATTCCAGTTCTATTACTCATCTGGCTATCCCACCATGTTAAAAGACTCTCTCTCTCTACTTTTCTCTCTCTCTCTCTCTCTCTGTGTATATATATATATATATATATATATATATATATATATACACACACACACACACACACACACACATACATATGTGTGTGCATATATATGTGTGTACGTGTGTGTGTGTGTGCGTGTGTATATATATAGTTTCCTATATTTAAGTATCACTATTTTAATAGGCTTTATATAGTAATATCCTCAGCTTTGTTGGGTCAGATTTGGGTAAGAATAACACTAAAGTGCTCCAAAACCATTTCTTGTAGCTCCTATTCCTTCAAATAAGTATATGTGTTATGCATACACTCACCTGAGAGAAAAAGGTTACCATAAGAATTGCTTTGGGAGCATGTTAGATATAGTGAACTCCAAGTTTGTCTTCAAAAAACCCGAATGTCAGTATGTTCAGCTCTCTTATTAGTTAATTCTTCATTTTAAAGTTTAACTTCCTTGTAGTTTCAGTAAACAACCTTTTCCACCAGTTCTAATCAATAGTTCAGATCTGCTCCCCCAGGCGCCTGCTCCATTCTGACTCATCCTGGTCACCTGCTCCGGTCACCTGCTTTGACCTGAGTCATCCCAGTCACCTGCTCTGACCTGTCCCATAACCATCCTTCCCGCCAAACTACTCACCCCACCACTTTGGCTCATAACCCTGCTCTCTTTAAAATAGCCAGTCGGAATTAGCTTAGGCTGTGCAGTCTAACCCTAGCCAATAGGGCAATGACACAGCAGTAGGGGCTACCTGCATCAGGAATAAGCACCTGTTCCCTTCCATTATCCAAGTATGTGCTTGCCATTGTTCCATCTGTAAGCTGCACCCTTCTATAGAAGTAAATTGCCTTGCTGAGGAAATTTATATTTGAGAGCTACTTCTTTTGCGGCACCACAAATTTACATGTAACAGAGCACTTTAGTGTTTCTCCTACCCAAATCTGACCCAATTCAGCTGAGGATATTACTATATAAAGCCTATTAAAAATAAGGATATTTTATTTCAAATATAGCAAACTATATACAGGGGTGGGGAGATAGTCTTTTGATATGGTGGGATAGCCAGATGAGTAATCGAATTGGAATAATTTGTCCCCAAAAAAGTAAAAAGTAAAAAGAAATTGAGGAAATAGAGAAATGGATGATTAACTGTGGAAAGCAAGAACTTTTAAAAATGGCAGAATAAATTTTTAGGACCATATACCTACCCTAAACACTTTTTTGGAACCAATAGAAGATATAACATTATTCATATATGTAAACACAAACCCTTAGAGGCAAATGAACATTACCAAGAAGATAAAGCACCAATAAATGCTCAAACTTCTGTATGCTTCCTTCAGGAACACAGAAGACTTAAATCACACCAAGTAAGGAAAAAAAAAAAAAAGCCCAATGATAATCTAGTTTGACAAGGCAAATCTAGACATACTCTTCATTTATTTAGGAAAGATCTAGGAATCTCTTACTATACACCCAACACCATGTTAATTTAGAAAGAGAAAGCAGTGAAGCAAATAGGAACAATTCTCTCTTCAATTTTAGAGCCTTGTCACTGAGGCAGACATTGTAACAAAGCAAAATAAAGGCAACATCCCTCCTCCCTGCACGGGGAAGATACACACTAGATTATAGACTCTGATGGCAGGGGGACAAGCATTTGTATTTCGGCTCTGTCATTGACTAGCTCTTTAACCTCAGACAAATCACATCTCTAAGCTTCAGTGTCTGTAACAAAAAAGATAATAATAGACCCCACTATTGGATTCATATATCATGAATCACTATATGGTTCTTGGTAAATTGTTGACTCATTGCTTAGCACATAGTAAGTACTCAATGTTAATATTTTATAAGTAGATATACTGTGTTAATTGAAAGAAAAACGCAATGTGTTATGAGAATACATAACCAAGGAATCTAATTAAGATTCCATACAAATAGTGCAATCTGATACGAAACTAAAGCTACCCAGTTTTCTGAATACTTGTGCTTTCTGTAAACCACAGAGAGTTGAGGCTTCCAGGGACTCTGCATGAGACTGCCAGCTTTGGTTTTTCTAATCTGACAATAGCAAGGTAACACTGATCAGTTCACCCTAGTTCTGAAGCAGAATCGCAACATAAAGGACTACCCAACTTGGATTGCCAGTATGTTCCCTGGTCTTGTTGGCTGGAAATGTTATTTTCATACAACCACTTTCATTTTTAGTTGAGCAGCATTGAAGCTATCCAGATTCCTTGCTGTTTGGCAAATGTTTTAATTGGTTATGTTTTGCTACCCTGGGCACTCTATTAGACAAAATTGCAACAAAAGACATCAATAAAAAGCAGAACACTTCAGATTGTTAAAATCGTGTATGTTATTAATACTATTAAAATGCTAATTGCTGTTTAGAGGAGATTCAGTTGCAATTTTAAAGGAGGAAATGGCTGCAGGATCTGAGGCATGGATTGTTTGTTCCCTAAAGGGGAGAAAATTCACTTTTGTTTAATTTATATGAACAAGAAGGCATTCCAAGGAGGTATGCTGAAGTGACTGTAGACTCCTAGGGTCAGAGCCACCTTCAGCTTCACCCCCACCCTAGGTGGTCCTTAATTGCCACTACAGACTGCCTGGCTGTAACTTATTGTTTGCACTGCACATGACCTTGGATGAAAACTAGAGCGCTATGAATTAATCCCTGTAATATTTTGTGTTTAACATCTGTGTTGTCACCAGCCATTATTCAGAGGACATAAAATAAAATAAAATAAAATGCCAGATCTATCTCCTACAACATTTTGTTTCAGTCTATGCTATTGTTTCCCAAGGACTCCATAAATGGATCACCTATAAATGAGTGAATCCATTTATTTTCTTTATTTTCTGAAACAAAAGTCTACAGAATTTAGAGGGTAATACCAAAACGAAATAAGACTATTTTTTAAATAACAGGAATCCTCTAGATATCTCAATTTCCTCTATCTATATTGCTATCATCTTTCTTTTCTTTTCCAGTATCTGTTTTAAGATAGGGGAGGATTCCAAAGCACATATGTCAAAATAAAATAATTTCACGTATCAGTTACAGCTTTATTCGTTGATGAAATGTAGTCACCACCGGGAGAAATGTAGCAACAACTTAGCATCCAGAAATAATACAGAACACCGTGCTGCATTAAATGAAAAATACCTGCAAGAGGAAGTGAGTTAATAAAAATTCAATTACTCAAATGGGAACTTTTCCAAGACCCCAGGGTTAACACCTAGATTAAACTCTCACTCTCTTTTCCTCTGTCTCTCTCTCTCTCTCTCTCTCGATACACACACACACACACACACACACACACACACCCCTGGCTTTATTAATAGTCACAAATGTTTAAAATATTCATTTTCTTTTTATATAAATGAAAGAGATAAAAGTGACAGCTAAAATAGCTTTTATATCATCAAGCTGAGAACTAGGTTTACACAGGAAGCTAACAATAACAGCAGCAATAATCACAAAAATCAGAAAGAAAATGACAAAGTGTGTCAGACATGACACAGAACACTTGAAGGCAGACCCCAACACCAGGCTGTAAAATTAAGTAATAAACAGTCACTCTAGAGGGCAGAGTGACTCACAGAGGAGTTAGTTAGTCTTTGATTTCATAGTTCTTCCTCAGATCTTCTCTTAGAGGTTATGGAAAGGAATGATCATCTGTGAGGCTATTTAGGGAATCTGAACATAAAAGAAAATAGAATTGCAGATGGGTATTAAGAGACTATTTTACTCTACTTCAATCATGTGAAAAACAGAGTAATTAACATGGAGAAAAAAAATAAGTAAATATGAGCCTAGAATACATCTTATACAAAACTTGAAATATTTTTATAGCTCTAATGTGTACTGAACTTATGTGGAGAGCATAATTTCAGAATGATATCATTTTTAGTTGGGGAGCCACACATACAGACTGGGATCTCTTTGAAGCTAACTGATTCTGGGAAGCAAAAAGTGAGCAGCATGGAAAAGAAATGGTAGAAGAGAATTTAGTTGGAGGAGAAAGACATCTGGAGGTTTGGCCCCAGTTAAAAATTCATAGGCAAATCCTTCTGGAAAGAGAGTTAGCAGTTTAATGAATAAATTATTATCTAAACACCAGAAGGTTAAAGGTTAACAGAAAGGACTTCAAAAATGATGTCTTAAGTGCTCCTAACTTGACACATAATGTTTAGTTTGCTGCCATTTTTCTGAATGTTAGTTTTGAATAGACTATTGACAAATTACAGATTTTTTTCATATATTGAAATTATATTCCAGATGATTTTGAGATTTATTGGTATAATATTCTCCTCATGAGGTAGGATGGAGGGGAAGGAATAGAGAAAACATATTCTGCTCTGAAATAAATGTGGTGTTTACTGACAGTATTTGTCAAGGTAATGTGTTGTCTTTAAAATGGAACATCTAGTTTCAATTTACATTATGCTTATTTCTAAGACTTCTATTTTTTGAGTTTTATGATTTGATTCTCCTTTCTCTATTATATATTCAGATTATGACCACACGTGGCGCTTTCTTGTATGGGGTGGAGAAAGTGGGGAAGGAGGAGACAGATTTACTGTAATATCATATAATGATCCTGATTAGACTGGAGTTTATGAAAAAAAAAATAGAGATAAAGCATTATTGTGATATTTCTTATACCAAATTACAATTTTCATTCCCCCAATTACTTTTATATTTTAAAATTGTTTTTTTCTTCTTTTTGTCTAAGGCAGCCTCAATAACAGTTACCATATTTCACTGTTTACATTCTTAAGGCCTTCAATATTATTAATCAATCTTTCCATTTCTTTAGTAGATCACAAGTTTTAAATGGTGCATTTTAATATAATATTCCCATTATAGGTCTACAATTTAATTAAGAGAATATAATTTTCTTATTACTTTTCTGTGATTATCCATACCCCGCTCCCTCTTCCCAGAATACTCACAGGCTCCATTAGATTCTTACAAAGGACCCTTGTTGTTTTCCCTATCATAATTCCCATGATAATATGTTATCACACAGTCACTTTTTTAAAGTATATTTCCTTAGACTTACTTAGATTAAGAAAAGAGCAGTAACTAGGGCTTCTGCTTCTTAATGAAAGCTTCCTTAGCTTTACGAATACCAGGCCAGATCTCTGAAGTTACTGCTTGAAAAGACCTGATTCTTAAAGCACTTTTATCCACATTTGACTCTCTTGAGGCATTTATTTTTTCTGCTTCAACTCACTTAATTGCATATGTCCTTAGTCAGACTGCCTAAAAGGAATGACTGCATCTATCTTGGTTTTTACCCCGGCACTTAACACAGAGTCTCAAATAATGCAGGCAAACAACAAATGCTTGTTATATTAATTCAGGCTGTACATAATGTAGAAAGCAGAATCAATCCTCAATGTAATAGATTCTGTTTAATTATAAAGTAATAATTTAAAATAACAATAATAATGATGACGATAGTTAACATTTATCAAATCTTCCCTAAGTGCCTCGGACTTTTCTAAACATTTTATATAGATTAAGTACCACAAGTCCAAGAGGTAAATGCTATTTTAATCTGTACTTTTAGAGGAGAAAACTGATCACAGCAAGTTTGAGGACATAGTCTTCAATCAAACACCTTATAAGGGATAGAGGTGATACTACCTGACACTGTGTTAACGCTTTTAAGCCTCTGACATTTTATTTTGAAAGGAACTGCTTAACACATCTAAATTACTAAACCTCCCTTGCTTTCCTTTTACTACCTATCATGCAGTAACTATTTCAACAAGATCTTTATTATGCCTTAATATTCTACATTTCTCTAATTTTCTGTCAGAGAAGTGAACTGTATACAGATGAACTATCTTAATCACTTTCAAGTTATTATGTATGCCCCTCCTTATTTGTTAGAAAACTCTTTTATCTTCTTTTCTTCCAATGAATTGGTTAAAGCACCATATTATTATACATATTACTTTCTTGATTTCTTCCTGATAAGATTAACCCATGATTATTTTAGAAACCTTCAGATTTGCCCTTGCAAACTTCAACTGCCTCTTGTTAATTGGTTCCTTCCACACTTCTTCATTTCTACCACTGACTTGCAGTTACCTCCAGTTAGTGAGCAGCTCTTCACAAAGCTATGTGATCTTTGCATCCCTCTTTTTTAGGAGACATGCAGTATGTTACGCTTTAGTTAGCAGGATTATCCTAGGCTATACCTGCCTTCTTCACTAATAGAATTTCTACCTCACATTACCGCTGATTATCAATAACTGGCTCTCTTAGCATCTAGCATACTGGAAATTCTTTGTGCTTGATCCCATTTTTAACTGTGCCAAGTTTAAATAAAATGTGGTTTATGTGGCAAGGATATTTATTTTTTCTATTTTTAATTAGTTTTACACTTTAGTAATTAGATCAAGATGCATTTCACACCCCTTAGAAACCTATAGTTTCTGCATGGTAGAAGATTTAAATAATCCTGTTATTTAGGGAGATGTATATGTGTTTTAACTGATTTTTTCTCCTCCAAATCATAAAGGCTTTGTAAATCACTCTCAACATTTTATGAAAGTGACTTGCAAAATAAGATAATTAAATGCAAAATCTTAGCTGTCAGCCATCAATAAAATAGGCTCTATTGGTTGGGGTCACTCAGTTGTACAGCGTCATTTGGAAGTAAACAATCCTTGGAAAGCTTTCTCTAGTATCACCAAAATTTTGGAGATCCATATACACATTCCTGATATTGATGCAGATTGTCTTTTTGACAGCAAAGTCTTTCATTTGAGACATTGAAGATTTATCTTGTTCTTTAAAACGGTATAGATTGCTTAATTCAGCCAAGATATTTCAAAAGTGGGAAATTATATTTCCTCTATACCTGACCAACAATATATTTGTAATTTTGAGTGAAATTTTGTTTCATACACATGAACTGAAAACGTATCTTCTGATCAGTAAAGAATGCTAAATTGTGTTAACTAAATGCCCAACATGTTAAATCTATTTCTAATTTTCAAAACAATTTGAAATGTCTACTACTTCTAATTCTAAAAATGTAAAATGCCATAAAAATGTACACTGAACACTCATCACTACCTCTAAAACCTACCTCCATTTATAGCAACCTGATCCATTTCACTATCATTGCTTTCCCATATTACTAGTATAACTAGTTGCCTTATTATACCCATGATTTATTCCCTGCAGTCTATTCTCAACATAGAAGTCAAGTGAGTTCATCCCTTCTTTGCTCAAAACCCTAAGGGCTTCCTATCTGAATTAAAGACAAATTCCTTTTGATAACGAGATCATTTTAATCTATGCTTCTGTAACTTCTTTGACTTCACCTTCTTCTAATTTCCTACTTATTTACTCTTCTCCTGTGCCATTGGCTTACATGTGCTATTTTTTTTCTCCTTTTCTTCTCTTCTTCATCTTTTTTTCCCTACAAATATAGACAAAATTATTTCCCTTGTTTTTCTTTCTGTCTAGAATGTTGCTCCCCTCAGGGAGGTCACTTCCTCTCCCACTAAAAGAGAGAAAAACTTGGAAGTAAGTTAGATTTAGAAGTTGTGAACATATAATTTTTAATAATCTAGGCTCAAATTATGACAAATGTTTCTTAATATACACGATTTTTTCAATATCAGTCAACATGAAAATTTGAAGATAAATGCTTGATGTGGTGTATGATGTAAACCATCTTGCTTTTTTTTGAGAGAGTATCGCTCTGTTGCCCAGGCTGGAGTGCAGTGGCGCAATCTCAGCTCACTGCAACCTCCGCCTTTTGGGTTCAAGAGAGTCTCCTGTCTCAGCCTCCAGAGTAGTTGGGATTACAGATGCATGCCACCATGCCTGGCTAAGTTTTATATTTTCTTTTTTTTTTAGACAGAGTCTCACTCTGTTGCCCAGGTTGGAGTGCAGTAGGGCGATCTCAGCTCACTGCAACCTCAGCCTCCTGGGTTCAAGCGATTCTCCTGCCTCAGCCTCCTGAGTAGCTAGGATTATAGACACAGCTATTTTTGTAGTTTTTGGTAGATATGGGGTTTCACCATGTTGGCTGGTCTGGTCTTGAGCCTCTGGCCTCAAGTGATCCAACCCCCTCGGCCTCCCAAACTGCTGGGAATACAGGACTGAGCCACTGTGCCTGACCACTAATTTTTGTATTTTGTAATAGAGATAGGGTTTTACCATATTGGCCAAGCTGGGCTTGAACTCCTGACCTCAAGTGATCAGCCCTCCTTGGCCTCCCAAAGTGCTGGATTACAGGCATGAGCCACTGTGCCCATCCAAGATTATTTTTAACACAATATATAATTTCCCTTATAATGATGGTTTTGGAAGCAAGACTTCAATTTGGGACTTGATGGAATAAAAGCAGGAAAGGGTTCATTCTGCTACTGGAGACTGTAATATTGGTGTGTAATTCTGGACTAACAAATATAGTTGAAATTTCCTGATTCTATAGTTAGTCTTCTGATTCCATATCTTGCCTAATCATGGTTGGCTGAGGCAGCAGTTTCCTTGATGGTGAAATTCTAGGGTGTGGCTTTGTGACTAATTGCCTGTGATAAGTCTCTTTGTCTTTAAAATAGAACAGATTTTGTTCTCTGTGACACTGCTGACTACAATAGTTGGTGTGCTTTTTGAAGATTTTTCTTAAAGTTGCAGAAGATTGTATTGTTTATTAA